TTTTCCAGAGTGTTTTTCTATCAAAGCTTTGGCTCATGTTCTCACAATGCACTCCTAATAAACAGATGTTATCATTCGTTGGCCCTCCAGAAAGTCAACAAGGAAAATGCCTTGAGCATCCCCCAGTACCGTTGGCGCGAGTAGCGGCTTCAGCTTTGACTGGACCACTTCCACCTCCTGGTAGCCATTGCTTCGTGCCCTGTCTGGGAAAGCTGGACTTCAGCTCCTATTCCAGTCCTTTGAAGAAATGCTGCAGGCTCCTGATGCCGCTTGTTAAAAATCTCTGTTGAAAGCCCCGTCTTGACGGCAGCTGATCTGGGCACAGCAGTTTTGGCACCCACTGAGCTGAAAGCTTGCTCTACTTTAAAATTGTCGTTGGAATTGTGTGAGCTGAGCCAACTGGGATGTCTATGGTATTGTCTGTTGTTTCTCCTGGTAATGTTGGTCCTGTTCAGTGAGGCCATGAGCAAGCACTGAAGTGGATGGCCTGCCGCCGTGGGCTTCAGCTTCAACCTCATCCCAATCCTTCTTAAGACGAGTTCTCTATTTGTAAGCTGCCAGCTTCCATGGGGCATTGTCTCCATGGATGTCTCTTTTATTTTTAAAAAGATTTATTCATTTATTTATTTGAGATAAGTTGCTGAGAGAGACGGAGAGACAGAGAGAGAGAGAGAGAGAGCGAGCGAGAGAGAGAGAGAGCTTCTATTCACTGGTTTACTCCCCAAAATGGCGACAGCTGCTGGGCCAGCCAGGAGACAGGAACTCCATCTAGGTCTCCCATGTGGCTGGCAGGGGCCAGAGCGCTTGGTTCATCTGCTGCTGCTTTCCCAGGTTCATTAGTAGGGAGCTGGATCAGAAGTGGAGCAGCCAGGACTTGAACTGGCACTCATATGGGATGCAGGCTGGCAGCTTAAACAGCTGTGCCACAACACTGACCCCATAAGCTTTTAATAAAAACTTAGTGATTTCATCATTTTCCCCTGGATTCCCTGTCAATTGGATTTTTGTTCTTGTTTAAATTTTAGCAGAATTCTTCTTGCCCTTTACAAACTGATGTCTTATCTTTCTTAGTGCCTTAGACTGTTCAGATGTGTTATAACAACTTAGTATGAGTTAATTTAGGTGCAGAATATTTTTTAAATTCATGCATCAGTTATACATTTACATGAATTTTTGAAGATGCCTTCATCTATCTATATACTAATCAATATCTATCTTTCTTGGTTAACTCTTTTGATATCTAGATGTATCCTCATAGGTAACCTTATTTCCAAGTAGAATTTGGCAATGAGTTGGCACCTGGTATATATATATTTCTGGTTTTTCTTATTCAGTGGATATATGCACACAAGTCCTATGTATATGTAATATTTGTCTTTCTTTTCTTTAGGGTTGTTTATGAGGACTTTAAGTAGCGAAAGTCAATCTCAATGTTTTACCTGTGGTTCTAGTTAGGGTTTTCAAACCAAAGTTACAGTCTTATATTTTTTGATTTTTTTTTCCTGTCAATACAAGAGTAACTTTGCAAGAAAAAAATCTGAAAAATTCCTCAGGGCATCTGGGATGCAGTGGACTGCTTTGGGATTCTCTAACATATGGTTACTCCTGTATCTGTTAGGACTCTGGGTGGCAAATGACAGGCTCATCTGAACTTAATAAAGAAGGGGCTGAGTGGAACAGGACCGAGAAGGAAAGAAGGGCCCACACCAGGAGGGCTCCAGGAACGTGATTATGGACTAAAACAAGCCTTGAAAATCTTAGGTATCTGTGTTACTTGTGGTCACAGATGCAGTGGGTATTTAGCATGGTGGAGGTGGGGGAGGGGAGGGCACCTTTAAATTTCTTTCCTGTGTTTGAGGTATTCTCTACCTTTCTAAGAAAAAAAAAAAAGAAAAAAAATGTAAAAAAAATTCCCCCCCTTTTCATTGCACCTGATGTGTATCTGGGTGACGTCTGCTTCGCCGCTCAGATTTGGGTCATCCGTTATGGTTGTACGAGGGCTGCCGTGTGGCTCGGTGGCTGGAGTTCCAGGGGTGCTAAAAGGAGCTGTGGTGTCTATGCCCAGCAGTGGGGCAGAGCAGTCTGCACTGGCCCGTCTGGCGGTGGTGTTCCTGACCTTGAGATTCTGTAAACTAATAAATCTTTCACCAGTTCTTCCTCGGCTTAACTAGCCAGAGTGGCTTCTATTGTTTACAACTAAGAACCTTGACAGACCAATAAATTAGACCTGGCAGTTCAGAAGGTTGCAACTGCAACTTTCTCTTTTCAATTTTGCTTCTGGTCTATTTAATACCGATTTTGGAACGTGATGACTGGGGGCTATGTGAACTATGGGCTGAAGGACCTTGCCCTGACAAGATAATAACACACAGCTTCAGATACTAAATTACCCCAAACTGCTCATGAGAGACTGCAAGCCCTTTCTTTTTCTTTTTTTTTAAGATTTTATTTATTTATTTATTTATTTGAGAGGCAGAGTTACAGACAGTGAGAGGGAGAGACAGAGAAAGGTCTTCCATCTGCTGGTTCACTTCCCAGATGGCTGCAATGGCTAGAACTGTGCCGATCCAAAGCCAGGAACCAGGAGCTTCTTCGGGGTCTCCCACACAGGTGCAGGGGCCTAAGGACTTGGGCCATCTTCTACTGCTTTTCTAGGCCACAGCAGAGAGCTGGATCAGAAGAGGAGCAGCCAGGTCTCAAACCAGTGCCCATATGGGATGCTGGCGCTGCAGGCGAAGGATTAACCTCCTGTGCCACAGCACTGGCCTCTTGCAAGCCCTTTCTCATGGCAGCATTTGCTGGGGCAGGGGGTATGTGCTGAAGTCACAAACAATGCTCCATCTCAGGCCTCATCTAAACTTGTTTGCTTCTTGCTGTGGCTGTGCATCTGCTGTGGGTGGCAAGGGTGGGGTGTGGCTGGGTGCTGTCATCACCCTCACCATACACAACCACCCTCTGGAACCTTGCTGGTGACCTTGGCAGAGGTGTGAGTGCCCTGGAGGGTCCTGCATGGCACAATGAAAAGGCCTGGCCCTGGAGGGACATCTGTGCCTCCTACGCAAACTCCAAGGCCAGTGCTGGTCACTTGTCCCCTTCCAAGGCCTAAGGTCCCCCCGCCCTGCTGTGTGCTGGAAGTCAGAGAGCTGGACATGTGTGGTGAGTGGCATTTGTGGCCACCATGGTTGGGCCACTCTTCCGTCACCCACGTCCAAGTGCACCTGCTCTAGAGCGTGTTTCACAGCCGCCTTGCTGAATCTGCGCATCTGACAGTGCTGAGTAGATCCCAGGAGGCTCTTTCCATGCGACTGAGACCTACAGTGAAGCAGACAGATGAATTTTGCAGAACAGCAAAATAAAACCAGACCTGACGTTCAGCTTATGAACAGCGCTGAGTGAGCCCTGGAGTTTGTTAAGTACATGATTCTCGTTGACATGGCTTATGTTGGATTCTTTGCAGGGACAGTCGTGGGAGGATGGGCGGGGGGTAGCCAGTTACTTGAACAGATTAAAGCCGCTGGTGTAAGTGAGTCCAAGGCATCTGATGAGACGGGTCGAACTCCCATCGAACTCCACCTTCAGGTGTCATGTACTCATCTTAGTTGGAACTGGTTGAAATACTTTACCATGTGCTTCTGGATTCTAGCCGCAAATCAGGGGTGACGTTCACACTGCCCAGAAGCAAGCCCTTGAAGGCCATTCTTCACCTGCTTTGAGTGGGACACTTAAAATGCTAATTAGCAAAATACACAGTCTCTGAGCTCCGAGCGGCTGGGCTGTAGGAGACCTCTTCCTGCTGCAGTTTTTGGAGAAGAGTGTGGAAGCAGGAAGCCAAGGAATACATGGGATCCTCAGAGATATGTTTACCTGGACTTATAAATGTCAGGGAAACACTTCACTGTGTGCAGCCTCTTCTATAAAATGGGCTCCTGTTTTTACAGTTAAAATCAGAAGTTTAGGGGCCAGCATTGCGGGTTAAGCTGCCGCCTATGATACCAGCATCCCATATGGGCACCGGTTCGAGTCCTGGCTGCTCCACTTCTGATCCAGCTCACTGCTAATGTGTCTGGGAAAGCAGTGAAAGATTACTGAAGTGCTTGGGCCCCTGCACCCATGTGGGAGAACCAGATGGAGTTCTGGGCTTCTGGCTTCGGCCTGGCCCAGCTCTGGCTGTTGTGGCCGTTGTAGGAGTGAACCTGCAATTAGAAGGTCTCTCTCTCTCTCTCTTTCTGCATTTCAAATAAATAAAAAATAAATCTTAAAAAAAGATTAGAAGTTTAAACTCTACTCCCTTTCTTAGGATGCTAACAAGTTATCTGAACCTCATTTTCTCCCTCTGGGAAAAATTAATGGGACTTAATTCCCAGGCTTGTTGTGAGCATTGGATGAAAGTGTGTGCTAGGGGTCCTAGCACATGGAACTAGTTCAGGAAATGAAGATCGTCTCTGTTCCACTTAGTGTTGGCTGCTGGGACTTTGGCCTCGGGTATCAGAAAGATACAGGCGTTTGTGTCTGGTGTATGAAGGCCAGCATTCACTGTGATGTTTGGTATTTCTTTGACCAGTCTTAACTTAAAGCATATATCTCATGCTCAGGGATCACAGAAGCTGGAATTCTTTATTTTTTTATTTTTTGTACTTTGGATATTTATATTTATTAAATAAAAGTTTTTTTAAAAAAGGCAGAATTACAGAGAAAAGGAGAGACACCGAGAGAGCGAGAGAGAGATCTTCCATCTGTCACAGATGGCCACACCAGTCAGGACTGAGCCAGGCTAAAGCCAGGAGCCAGGAGATTCATCCTGGTCTCCTACATGGGTGGCAGTAGCCCAAGCACTAGGGCCATCTTCCACTGCTTTTCTCAGGCCATCAGCAGGGAACTGGATGGGAAGTGGAGCAGCGGGGACATGAACTGGTGCCCAAATGGGATGCCAGCGTCACAGGCAGTGTCCTTACCAGCTATACCACAACACTGGCCAGTGCATGATTGACTTGTCAAACAGACTACAGAATGGGTTCATGATCCTTCTTATAACAAAGACAAGCTCTCGTTCTCATGTTGAAGGTTTCCCTTGAAACGTTTTCTGGAATGTATTCTAGGACCGGATATCCATGACTTCTTCTAGATGACAGGTCACCATGTGATTTCCACGACTCCACTAAGATATTGACAGGAGGAAAGGAACTCAAGTGTTGGAAAGATTGGTCTCTAGCCAATCAATAAAGATATTGTACCTTGAGCACCAATCCTGTAGTGAAAGGACTGTCCACCTGAATTCACACCAACTATGGCAGACAAAGGGATGCTGGTCATCCGGTTCTTGTTTAATCCCCATGGGGAATCCGCTGCCTCCACAGGTACCATCAAAGCCCGGCACAGGTGGTCCTAAAATTCCTGATAGAGAGTAATAGTCTTTATCATCCATAAATGGAAATGGGTTTACTGTGGGATTCCCTTTAAAAGAAGTGCCAGAACACGAATGCTTGGTTGATTCTTGCTTGATCGGTACTGAGAATGGAGAATCTGGATTTATTTTGCTATTTCCTCCTAGACATGAGCTGCTGAAGGCTCCATCTGGGTCTGGTTTTATGTACTGGACAAGGTTAAGCTGGCCGGACACACCGTTGGACATGGCACTGTCGACTTCCTCATTCTTGGGAAAAGGGACCTCTTGAGCACATTTCTCGTGTGTGTCTGGACTTGGAACGACATCCCAGCTTGCACTGGATCCAGTAGAGGAGCCAGAAGCAGTGTAGCTGAAGGCATTGTTTATAGGGCTACAGATAGATCCCACAGTGCTGGCTGTTGGGCTGGAAAGCGTGGTTCTGTTATTTGTGTTGGAAGGGCTGGAAACAGAGCACCTTGAGTTGTTGATATTTGCAGGGCTAGACACGGAGGATCGCAGAGTGACGTTATTAGGGCTGGAGACCGGAGATTTTACACTGCAATGGCTTGGAGGGCTGGAAATCGGGGATTTCATGCTACTTAATGGACTTGAGAGAGGAGAGCCCACGTTGCTAGCGCATGTGTGGCTGTGCGACCTGGAGCTTCGATTTTCCACGTTAGGGGAGCATGTCAGAGGAGTTCCCTGGGTGATAGGGCTGTGCACTGGGAAGTTTCCAAAGCTGGCTGTGGTGGAGGATACAGAGTTGATGCCAGCAGGGCTGCAGACCGAAGATGGCATGTTCAGAGGGCTGCAAACAGAGGGGCTCTTCTCATGACACATGATGGGGCTTTTAACAATGGCGCGCATGACCCCACCATTCATGGAGCTTCCAGAATCAGGCATAAATGACCTCAAGGGTCTGCTCACACTACCGAGAGTGGAAGGGCGATGGCCATTTTCTTTGTAAAATTTTACCAGCTGCTCAACATTTTGATAAATCTTGGCTGGATTCATGCTTCCTTGTTGGTTCTGTGGATCATATGTATAGTCAGCATCCCTTATGGAATCCATGTATAAACCCATAGATTCAGCTACAGTTGCTGAAAGTTCCTTGGACTCCAGCTCAATTTTAATATCAGATGTTACAATCCCAGACCGATTACTGTCTTGCTGAAGGCAGGGGAGTAGTTCGTGTTTTCCTTCGCTGCTTCCTTGAGTACTGTTGTTTGGAATAGCACCGGAAACACAGCTCACATTGACAATCTCCATGTAGCTGCTCTCATCGGTCCTCTCTGTAGATCCCAGGGTAGATTGCTCCACAGTCTGAGAAACTTGACCCCACTGTCTTTCCATATCTAGACCTTCAGGGAGACTGTGGTAGCCTTTGGTCTCCATAGCTGCCTCGGCCGGGGTCCATCTCTCGCCGCTGACCTGTTGCAGCGCTTGCCACCGCCACGACACCCCTACTGCGGAGCCCCCAGAAATCCAACCACATCCAGGCCAGTGAGCGCCGCTCTCCCTGCAGCGGGAGAGCCGGAGGCAGCTGCGCTCTCGCACTCAGGTGACTGCACGGGCTTCCTCGGAGCAGCCTGAAGTTGGCTCGCATCTCCGGGGCCCAATGACAGCGCGCAGGGGCTGAGAGCAGGGGGCAGGGGCAGGGCCAGGACCGGCAGAGGAGGGAGGGAGGGAGGGAGGGCGGGCGAGAGCCCGGAGGAGGAGTCTGGAATTTTTTAAAAATCTGAACTATACGATAGCAATAACTAGTATTTGCTTGTTAGTGGTTGCATTATAAACATATCCCCAGACAGCCTGTTTCTTAAGGAATTATGAAGGCTGATGTGCTTACATCAATTTGTGATTTTTCCCCCTCAAAACTAATTACAAGAATCTTCTACAACATACTGTTGAATAGTTTTGGCTTGTATTAATATGAACTGCCCAAAGGTGATTTGAAACCTGTGAAGGATGATGTTCCCCTGGATGTCCTGTTCACTGAGGCACCAGCTACCACTCTGGTACACCTGCAGACTGAGGAGGCCAGTCGGAATAACTGTGGGGTAAAGAGCTCATCACTAATCTTTTTTCTGGTCTTGCCTCCCACATTTAAGTTGACCAAGTGCATTTTATTATACTTCATACTTTATATTCATTTTAAAGATAAGCCGAACCAACACAAAACATAAAATGTAAGTAATAAGCCTGCCCATGGTTGATAGGGAGTGTGATTCTTTGAAAAAGCTCGCAACTGAAGAGTAGGGTGGGGAGCGTTGTGCTAGGGGAATGGCTTCAGCTCCTTCATTTAATTCTTAAAACAAGCCTGTGAGGTAGGAGTCGTCCTCACGTAGCAGACAAGGAAGCAGAGGCTCAGAGATGTTAATACACTTGGACAAGACATAGCTGTAAGGGCGAACCAAAGAATTAAACTCAAAATCCACACGCTTTTTAATTTGCCGAGGGAGACAGGCAGATCGAAGTAGAGTGGTTTCCAGATAAAAATGAAAGTCTTCTTGTCAACAAAAGACACCACGTCATTAAAAGACAAATCAGAATCTAGGATGGGATGTCTGCACTGCGGGTTGCCAAGGAAAGATTAATATCCAGACATGTAAGGGACATCAGCAAAATGAAAAAAGACAAACAGCTGAACGGAAAAACAAGCGGGGAATCCGTCAGGAATTTACAGGAGAGCTGAAAGACCAAACACCATCATGTGAAGATGATCAACTCCACTAACAAGGGAAGCAAATCAAGATACAACCGGATTCTGTTGCATTCCCATCATATTGAAAACAGTACCTCTGATAAGAAGGGTTGATAGTGGTGGGCATTTGACCCAGTGGTTAAGATGCCGATATCCCACATTAGAGTACTTGGGTTCCATGCCCTCCTGCTCCTGGCTCCAGCTGCCTGTTAGTGCAGACCCTGGGAGGCAACGGGTGGTGGTGGTTCAAGCACTTGGGTTTCCGCCACCCACGTCACTACCTGGACTGATTTCCTGGCCCAAAAAAAGGGACTCCTTACTATACTGCTGTATTCAAAGTAGCTCCCTATTCCCACTCCTGCCGTACCTTCTCCTACTTCGTCCACGGCACCGCCACTCCCTGGCAGCTTTTACTTTCTTGTTTGCAGTCTCATCCCCCATGGAGGTCAGGAGCATCTGTGTTCTTCTCCCTGGTGTGTCCCCGACGACTCTGACTGTCGCAGTGTGTATTATGCTTATTGTTTAGGTCGATGCCCAGTGTACATGGGCTGAGAGAATGGTTTGTTCCCATCACGGGGATGTGAGACCCGAGAGGTTGGAGGCACAGCTGAACCTATCAGGCGGCCACAAATTTCTGCATCGAGGAATTGCACTCTAGACCCCGTGGTTGCTTTTCTTCACACAGTGGTGACTGCAGAGCCCAGGTTGAGAGCCGCATCTGGACTGCACCTGTCATTGTGTGGCCTGCGAGCCAAGAACGGCTTTGACAGGTGAACGTTTGCAATCAGTGTGACATTGGGAGACACCATCTTGCAACGCCAATGAGGCAGAAATACTATCAAATAAATAAATTCCATTGTCCTCATTAGTAGATCTTTATTACTAAAAATTACATGCGATTTCATGAGATTTTGAATTTCCTCAGTACAAAAGGTTATGGGTGTTTGTCTTCTCTGTTGTTATCCAAGGACTTGCTCAATATCCTTGATATTTAAAAAAAGAGTTATTTATTTATTTGAAAGAGTTACAGAGAGGGAGAGGCAGAGTTAGGGGGAGAGGGAGGGATGAAGGAAGGGAGAGAGAGAGACAGACAGACAGAGACACAGAGAGAGACAGATTTTCCATCTTTTGGCTCACTTCCCAAATGGCTGCAGTGGCCCAGGGCTGGGCCAGGGTGAAAGCTAAGAGCCAGGAGCTTCCTCCAGGAACCCCACATGGGTTCAGGGGCCCAAGTACTAGGACTGTCCTCCACCATCTTAGCTGGAACACCAGCAGGGAACAGGATTGGAAGTGTACCAGCTGGGACAAGAACTGGCACCCATTTGGGGTGCTGGTGTGACAAGCAGCAGTCCAATTTGCTATGCCACAACTCCAGCCCCTAAAATATCTTTGATTTTGCCTCTTGGCTCACAAAGTCTAAATTATTTATGTCTGGCTCTTTGCAGAAAATGTCAGCCCCTACTGAGGGAGTGATCTCAGGGCTACCTAACTGTGACTGTTAAAGGTGGGGCAAAAGCAGACTTCAGTGGACCAATCAAATCCAAGATATGCTCTGCTAGAGTCTCGCCTGCAGCATGGAACAGCCTTGGACTTCAGCAGGGCACTGAGAAACTGGTTTTGGCACTGACCATTCATGGGAGTCTTGAAGGTCTTTGCATGAGGCCACCACTATGTGCTGAACATTAAAATGATTTAATTTTGGAGGCCAGCATTGTGGCGTAGCAGGTAAAACCGCTGCTTGCAATGCCAACATCCCATATGAGCACCAATTCCGGTCCTAGTTGCTCTACTTTGGACCTAGCTCCCTGCTAATACACATGGGAAGGCAGCAGAGGATGGTCTGAGTGCTTGGATCTCTGCTTCCCACATGGGAGACCAGGACAGAGTTCTAGGCTCCTGTTGCAGCCATTTGGGGAGTGAACCCACAGATGGAAGATCTCTCTCTCTCTCTCTCTCTCTCTCTCTCTCTCTCTGTGTGTCTCTCCCTCTCATTCTATCACTCTACCTTTCAAATAACTAAAGTAAATCTAAAATTAACTATTAAAATGGTTTAGTCTTGGTTTTGCCTACCATGGCCCGTTACCCACTTTTTCTAGCACTTTCCTGAGGTCATTGGGCAGATTATATCATGGAAGTCAGCTGTGTACCAGCTCCCAGGATCACTCTTCCCCTTCATACTTAAGCTAAAATGGGCCGCACCATACCCTGTGAGAAGCTCAGGACCTTCCCTGCACTCTGATCGTTTGATCATGTCTGGGGCTTCCATTTTCTGGCTCGCTCTCTGAATGCCTGCCTGCTGCCAGCCCTGCCCGCCACTGCCTACTCCGTGTCTACACAGCCTGCGTCTGTAGTCCGGCAGAGGAACACCAACACCAGCCCTACTGCAGGGCCCAGGGAGGTGGAGGGAGTGGAATTGCACATTATCTTTTAATTCTGTTGTCTGTGAACCTCCTGAACCACCGTGGTGTGTTTCCTTCTCCTTACCATGGAAGTCAGTTCATACAGAGAATGCTGGCATTGAACCTTAGGGTTCGAGAATGCCCAGAAATGACCCAGCAGTTGTGTACCTGGGAATATACCCAAGAAAACTGAAAACATGTGTTTATAGAAAACTTGCACATGAATGTTTAGAGCAGCAGTATTCATAGGAACCCAAAGTGGAAAACCACCCAAGTATCAGTCGAGTGGGAAGTGGATCCAGAAAGTGTGGAATATCATTCAGCCATAGAGAATGCTTATACTTGCTACAATGTACTTGAACTTGAGAACATTATGCTAAGTGAATGGAAGCATCACAAAAGGTCTCATGTTGCCTGGTTCCATTTTAATGAAATGTTCACCCTAGGCAAACCTAAAGGACCATAAAGTAGACTCATGGATAGAGGGGAAGTGGAGTGACTGTCACCGGGCCAGGGTTCCTTTCTGAGCTGATGACAATATTCTTGAATTGGTGGTAATAGTTGCACCTCTTGTGTATATACTAAGAACCACAGAACTGTCCACTTTAAGTACTAAATTTTACGGTATGTGAATTATATCTCAGTTTTTAAAAAACACATAAGGAGCTGGTATTTAACCTAGCAGCTAAGACACCTGCATCCCACATCAGAGGGCCTGGGGTTAATTCCTAGTTCCACTCCTGATTCCAGCTTCCTCCTAGTGTGTACCTGGAGAGGCAGAAACTTATGGCTCAAGTAGTTGGATCCCTGCCACTTACGTGGGAAACCTGGATTGAGGCATTTGGGAAGTGAACCAGCAGATGGGAGCTCTGTTTGTCTATCCACCTGTCTGTCTTTCTCTGCCTCTCAAATAAATAGATAACTTAAAAAATGCCCAGAAGCCCATGGAATGAGTGATAGGTACAAAAAAATGATATGATTTGCTTTGCTCAGATAAAGATAAATGAACTGTGAGAGATCCCTGGGACCCCTGGTATGCCACTGCTCACTGATGGGCTGGTTCAGCAAAAATGGGAAACCCATGTGCTTGCATCTCTTGGTAACAGCTGGCGTGGCCTCTCAGAAATGTTCACGTGGCTTCTGGTGAACTTCATGGTCCTCACTCTAACAGCTCCCCAGTCCTGGCAGGTGCATTGCAGAAGCAGTCACACATGGCCCTGTGTTGCAGACTTAGGAGCCCTCAGGTGGCCACGTGAGGACCCTAAGCTGCCATGGCTGTGAGCTTGCTTGCCAGCTTCCCATAGCATTAGCTCCAGGAGC